ACGGCTAGTGGGCCGATTCCATATGTGACTTCCGATTAAGAAAATACCATCGTTTGAACATAGTTTTGATAAAGGCCACCACTTGATCATTATATGCATCAACGATCCGACCGTTGGATTGATACCAAACTTTAATATGTTATTATACGTGGGAATCCGATGTACGGATATCTTCCCAAATTGAATTTCTAAGTTTGTAAAACCAAACGTTGACCGCTACTTGAATTGTGATTGACGAAGATCCGACCGTTGGATCATTCTGAATTTTAGGATATTGTTCTAGAAGATAAATGAGACTCTTGGAAAATTATAGATCGGAAATCAGTGAACGGATATTCTGGATCGAGTTACGTAGAGTTATGGACCCCACCGTTGACTGAAAGTTGACTTTTGGTTAGCTTGTCTAAAACTGCCTGAAATACTAAAATTAGTATTGCTAGGGACTCGGTGAGGCTTTGCGGACTTATCTCGGCAAGTGACTTTAATACATGTGATATAGTTATTACCCTGAAAACCTCCCATGCTAGTATACTTTGTGGATACAGCATATATTTCTAAATTATGTTTTATGTTAAATAATTGTTTTTATAAAGTTTGCCATCGATCTACTTTGTGAAATGTTATGTGACTTGCCTGATTGAATTGTTTATGAATTGTGTTTTAAAATATATATTTGAAATGTTTGAGAAACGTGAGGGTTAGTAGGGGACTGATACCTTAATTTCATGAGGTTAGGTGACACTGAGTTTGCACCATGTAGCAATGGTACATGGATAGTCCTGCTTGGTTAATCCGCGATGAGGGTCCATACTATTTATGGATCATGCTTGGTTAATTCGCGATGGGTGATCCTTATGGCTATACATACGTAGGGGTGATCATGTTTGGTTAATCCGCGATGGGTGATCACTGCCTAACAGTTCGTAGGTGTGACTCTGCTTGGTTAATCCGCGATGGGGGCCACTACCTACTTGGTTACCTTCTCAGGGGTGGTCCTGCTTGGTTAATCCATGATGGGGGGTCACTACCTACTTAATTACCTTCTCAAGGGTGGTCCTGCTTAGTTAATCCGCGATGGGGGGTCACTGCCTACTTGGTTACTTTCTTCAGGGTATCTCTGCTTGGTTAATCCGCTATGAGGGGCCACTTCCTGTTTGGTTACTTATGTAGGCTTCAGCCAAACTGTGTCCCTCTAGCCCTAGTTTTTAGTGTATTTATGAACGATAGTTTTTGAGAATCTTTGTGGTTGGAATTAGAAAAGTTGTTGGATGTCTAGGTGACTTATTCGGAGTTTTCAGTGACTTGACTATGATTTCCTAAAATAAGATTTTATATTTGAAGTTTATAAATCGTGATCGATGGTCTATTTTTATTGATTCATATATGTTGTATTATTGTCACTCACACGAGCTTTGCAGCTTATCCAAGTTCTTGTTACCCGGTGCACCATTTTCGTGGTGTAGGCACTGATTGTATAGATGAAAGGTCTAAGTAGATTACAAGCAGTCGCTTAGTATTTTTGGTTTCATTAAGTGGTCCGGAACCCTATGTTGTTGGATTTCGTTGAGTGGTCCAGAACCCCTACTCTTGCTCATTTCCATAAGGCTAATCCGACCCTAGATTCGAGTGAACATGAATTTCTCACAATAGATGTTGTGTTTATAAATTAGATTTATCAATTATTACTTGGAATCCAAGTAGGGATTTATGTAGGATTCCTTTATTAAATTTTGTGAATTGAAATGTGATCTTGTTGATTGATTAACATAGTTAAATGTTAATATCGTGCATCTTTGATTCTTTGGATTGATTAATTAGAGTGATTGTCGAATGACGTTGGATATGATTGTTATTACTATGATTAGATTCGTTGACCAATGTGGATAGAGAATAATATTGTGCTTCGTTGGTTTCTTTGAGATGTTGCATGCTATAAATTGTAGTATTATGTTGAAACATAGTGATTTATAAGATGGATGAAATGGAAATCTTGATTGTCATGTGGGTTTGTTTTGTAGCCTTGAATCTAATAATTCACGCTTGTCAAGTCCCAATAATTGATTGAGGAATGTTATGCCTTCCTATTAGAACGCATTGGGATAAATGTCTGAGTTTAGTGAATGATAACTACAAATGACTTGATCTCTTCATAGGGTACGTAGACAGTCTAACACTAAGGTTATATATAGCCATAAAGTATACAAAAATTATTACGCAATTCGAATCTTGATTTATGCTTTGTACATATCTCAGAGGCGAGGTCTATTGAATATACAGATATATAATGACGTCATGTGTCGATTCTGGACGTATATCGAGATCAAGGCATGACAGGAGTGGTAGTGAATCTAGTGATTACCTTCTAAAGTAGTGAGCAAAATCCAATACTTAAAAAGGAAGTTAAAGAAAGTGTGTTAGGTGTCAATCTTATCCCGTTGCAGAGCTAAACGTGTATATGCTAATCTTCCACCCATGTGATAATATGCCTTTCTTTGCTCCAATGTCGATGGAGGGAACGTGCACCCTATTGTTTTTTAGTTTCAGTCCACAACCATTTCCTTAATTAAACACCATAGGATCATATATTGTATACGAGAAGAGGAGCATAGCTTGGGAATCCATCAAAATAAACAAGCAAAGTGAGCGGAAAAAAAAAATGGTTTTATCTGTTGATTGCTATAAATTTGAAGCGAGTACGGAAACATAATGCCAAGTGGAACACCACAGTGCTGCTCCTTGATCCTCAATGTAATTAAATATTTGAATCACTCTCAATGTCATGTGGATTACTTTCCACTCGGCTTGCTACAGATAGCAAATCATATCTTTTTTTTACTTTTTAAAAGAGGGCCAGCTGGTGGGGAGATTTTCCAATGTGACTGATCGGAACACGAGGTGGTACATCACGTGTCACTATATAAATAATGGGATATGTATTCTAAAAAGTTAATAACTTAAAAAATAAAATTTCCAACCACTTATATAAAATCACGTGGTGTACTACCCGTGTTCTAGTAATGAAAAATTTCTCCAGCTGGTGCTTTTGCTACTGCAATCCACATTTATGGGGGTTGGAAAAACTTACAAGTCATATCTAATTATTAATTAGAATTACAGTTAAACTAAATTACTCCAGTAAAATTTTGCAGCTATTATATGCTAATGACCTTTTCTCTGCCTATATATGAAACTTGGTTTCCCAAGTTCTAAGCCACACCCCAACAACTAAAACACTACTTTCATTTGAAATGATTCAATTATCAGAAGCAATGCAAGGAAGAGGAAGCACTAATAGAGATCAAGCATCTAAAGGCAAGGCATGTCGCAAGGAATTGGCCACAGATTTTTCTGGTGCTGTAAACAAGAATAGTACCAGCAGCTGTGATCATCGGTGCAGGCTTAAACAGCAGGCTGAGGAATCTCTCCGGACTGTAATGTACTTGAGTTGTTGGGGTCCTAATACATGAGAGACGATGAGTCTAAATTACTATTCCTAATTACCTACTAATATATATCTGGAAATTCAACTCCCAATTATCCTTTGTTAATTAGCGTTTAATTAGACGGTCCATGCAGATGCGGTGATATGGTCATCGATCTGTATTACTAGTCCTTTTGTTTTCTAGTGTTAATAATATGTATAGCTAATTTTGTTGGATTAATTGTATGCATCAAGATCTTGATCTTCCCTCTTTCCCCGTGCAATGTTAAATATTATGTGTTTTTTATACGAGTTGCTATTGGTACTTTAAAAATGTCATCCTGCATCTCTATGTATAAATTTTCCTTTGTACTTTTATAAAAGTGAAGTACAAAATGACCTCTTTGGCGTCTCAAAACATTTCTTTTATATCATAAAGAAAGAGAGAAAATTTTGAAAGATGATGAAATGGGATGAAACAAATGACGGTTTTTAATTTAGTTCCTTTATTTCATTACCCTCCCATGCACAAGTTTGTATTTGTCAAGAACAAAATTGCAGAGTATGACAAGGCAAGTGTTTATATAATTAGTTATTTTGCCTTAACAAAAATTACATCCCATACGTGGGCTTGAATCCAAAACTCTCTCTTTCCAAGGAAGAAAGCTCAACTGCATAGTTCTAGCATAATAAGGAGGAGATGGTATACATTACATGCACGGTATACATATAGCTATTTTAGTACTGTAACGCGATCCGTCTCTCTTCCACTTCAACCTTCTTCGTCACGGCATCATAGATGGTAGGGAACCTTATTTCAGAAGACTTGTGATGATGATTAGGCATGATTGATGTTGCCTAGCTTCTTCTAATTTTTACAAAATTTGTTAATTTATTCCAAGAATGTGGCTTTTCGGATCATGTTAAACGGGTTTTGGTTAAATTTTGGGTTTCTTGATTGAAGTAATGGCTACTAGCTTTTAGAGTTCAAAAAGTACTGATGATATATAGATGAGTTTAAATTTGTAAATAATGTGATCACCAAGTGACATTTCATTTTCATCTTAAATTGTGTGGGGATGATGTTGATTGATTCTAACAACAAATAAGTGAAGTTATGGCCGCAACTTGATCGAGCAGAGGCAAGTATAGGATTATTGAAACCGTAATTTGAAAAGGGCAAAACGGATCAAGTTGGTACGAAGCATAACGATAAGATTATTTTGTTTCCTTCTTTTCGATAAGATGAAAACGGATCCGGTACACAACGTACAGTAGCACGAAATGGGTTGTATTCGTACTTATCAGGCACGCCATACTGAACGATGGAGATAAGACCATAACCACTAGAATATACAGCAGGGATGAATGGGTGCATGATGGCATGATAGCACGCAACTGAGACAAATAAGCTGAGATCAAAATATTGGGGTCCTCCTTCGGTTACTATTTTGATCAAATTTTGCAAAAACAAGGTGCAAGACCCCTGGTTTCTTCACTGAAAACCACTGCATAATTTGTCACTTCATATGTAAAAAACTTAAAAGGACAAAGCCAGCTTCCTGAAATATACAAATCCACAGCAACTTTGTATTTTTACCTTTCTGAATCCATCTGGTTTTAGCCTCATCTTTCTCCTATATATATTCACACCCAAGAAACTAAACTAGAACTAAGCTGTTTGTTCTGTTGATTATATTTCAAGATGTGTGGAACAAGAGGAGCGTGGATAGTAGCGGCTAGCGTTGGAGCTGTTGAGGCTTTGAAAGATCAAGGTTTCGGCAGATGGAGTTACACCATGAGATCTGTTCACCAGCATGCCAAGAGCAATGTGAGATCTTTCTTGCAAGCAAAGGAACTATCGCCTTCGTCTTCTGCTATGGTTTTGAACAAACTGAAATCCGAAAAGAAGAACCAAGCAGCTGAGGATTCTCTAAGAAAAGTCATGTACCTGAGCTGCTGGGGACCTTAATTATCTTCTTTTGTATAAAGCCAACAAGCCCAATGAACAGTGTTTTTTGGTGTAAAAAATAACGAATAGTGGTAGGGGTATTTTCGTTATTTTGACAATTTGTTTTGTATAGTTTTTATTTTTATTTTTATTATTAGTACATCACTATAGGCTAGCAATAATATGATTCTATCAGTTGTTCATTAAATATTCTCTATTTTTAAACACATTCAAAACATCTTGATAGACGTGTAATGTCGGTTATAAAAAAAGGTCTTTCGTACGCGCATAATAATGTGATTAAATTAGTTGTCAAATTATTGTTTTTTTTTTTTGAACAAACGATATTGTCTATACTTAAGGGGTTTCTTCTAACATGATCTAAGATTATTCATTTACTTCCAATATTTGATTTTCTTTTTATCAATTAACGCATATAAATTTATTTAAAACGTATAAGTCGCGCATAGCACGCCGTGACGCGCGTGCATGAAGGCTAGTTGACATAAATTGGAGCTCATGGTGAATTCATCAAGTCTTAAATTTGAGGATGTACCCACTTAGATTCATTAGAAATTGAATTGAAGTTGGCACATGTGACAATCACATTGAAAATTGCTACATATCCATGTCACTAAGTTAGTATTGAATGTATATTTAATCTAAAAATTCAACACATATAAGGTATGTGTAAAAATATGAATGACAAAGTCTCAGAGATGATGGACTAAATAATGTGTCGCCAATAAGAAATAAGCATGTTAATCAACACTTAGGTAATGCTAGGTAAACCAAATTTATAAACTAAACTTACAAACTAAATAATGTGTCAACAATAAGAAATAAACACGTTAATCAACACTTAAGTAATTTTCCAATTATCAACTTCCATATCATTTAGTTTATAAAATTTAATCTACACATTTAGTCTCCCTAGCATTACTCTTATTTTTAATATTGGTGAATTGTCACATGAACAATAATTCACTTAGTATAACAGTGTAGTGATATTTCTTTTCACTTGTAAACAAGAGGTCTTAAGTTTGACGCTTGTGAATTGCGACATTAATACTTAATTAGGCTAGCTCATTGTGTGGTTTAGGTATATCATTAAAAAAACATATGGACAAAACAATTATGATGACGTGGAGCGCGTGTGACCGCTGGACTTCGCCCAAAATTGAGTTTCCATCGTAAATTTAGTTAGTAACATAGAGAGTTGGCCAATTTACTTGCAAGCTCATGTAAGGACCCTCCACGTAATTTCCACTTTAAAAAATAGATAAAAATGCAACTTATTTTGTGATACTAAAGAAGTTTTTAAACTAATAATTACATAATTAAGAATTAATTGGAGTTTGATAATGAGAAGAAGATAAAATGCGGTTAGTTCATCATCAATCTTGAGCAGAGTTACAAAATACGAGTTAGGTTATGGTTAGATTAAGGCCATGTTTATGCACACGTAATCGGAATGAAAATAAGGAATCCGATTCTAATTACGGATAATTCTTGTGTTTACTACGATTTGGAGGAATCAATAGCATATGGGACCCACACAAAAAATGGAATTCAATTCCTGAAATTGGAGGAATTGGACTCCCTCCATGGGTGAGGTATTTGGATTTCTGGATGGTGAAGGAATCAGGAATGCATTTTTTTCTTCCTATTATGCCCTCATTCACATTATGCACAACTCCATGCATATGTCGAAGAGAAGAAACTACAATTTTGAGCGAGAAATTTTAAATATTAAAGTACATACTTAAAATTATTAAAAAAATAAACAAAAACATTTTAATGTGTTTATGAAATAAAAAAGCAATTTAATTTTTTTCTTACTATTATATATTATATCAAATTTTATTAGAAAAAGTGTATAAAATATTTGATTCGGGACAAGCGTATTTTAGTAATCATATTGGTTTATATTCCGATTATGCTGAATTAGTAAACAGTTTTATGGAATTAGTGTCATTTCTATTCCGATTCCATAACATTTAAGTAAACAACTTCAATAGGAATACGATTCTGACTCCTCCTCATTCCAATTCCTCCTATTTTCATTACGGTTACGTAAACAGATGCGAGAAATTAAAAGATATCCAAATTTTGTTGGAGGAAATGACCTCAAAATATCTACAATGGGCATTACATGAGTGAAAATTTTTTTTTTTTGTGTGTGTAAGAAATGCGTCTGCTATTCTTTGAAGCTTGACTAGAAGAAATTGTCCTTAAAATGTTGTCTTGTGCAAGTCACGTTGTTAACCTGAATGGAATTTTGAGTGAAAATTGGATTCAGGTAGCAACATTGTCAAAAGTTATTTTAGCCTAGATCGTCAAACGTAATCTAGTGGTAGAGGCACAAAAGTGAAAAAAATTCAGGTAGCAAAAAAATAAAAAATAAAAAATAAAATAAAATTAAGGCGCCATATGCTTGCAAGTTTTTTCAAAAGAAATTTGGAAGTAATGATCTGAAAATAATAGAATATATATAAGGCATCTCAAAATCCATATATATATATATCATATCTAGTAATACTACAGAGACCAATTATTTTAATCGTGTGTGTGTGTGTAATATATATATATATATATATATATATATATATATATATATATATATATATCATATCAAGTAATATTACAGAGATCAATTATTTTAATCAAGTTTTATAAATTATTTATGACGTGGTTATCAATGATTGAATTATTACTTAAATGTTGATTAACATGCATGTTTTATATTGTTAATACATCACATGGTTCACATTAGAATATTAATATACAACATTACTCATATCATATATTTATCTGGTCTATTTTCTCTCCCTAGCTTCTCTATATTTTATAATGTATGAGTTTGTTTTGTAATTTTCTTTTTTCTCAGTAATAAAAAACAAAAATTTGAGTTCCTTGGTAATCAGTAGAATAGCTTGTCTTGATCTACGGCATACGTATGTAATTTTCCCCAAAAAATCATACATAGGATAAGTTAGACACGTATGATTTAATAATCGGTGGAGGATCTTCTTTAAGATTTGTATCATCTTTAAAAAAAGAAGGTTAGCTTGTCAAACAATGTGACAATTTCCACGCATACAATCCTTCCCATACTTGAGGCTTAAATGGTTTTTATAAGCAAAACCGTATGCTCATTTGTAATCCAGTGGGCAGTGTGTGTCATTTCCTCCACCCAGCCGAATTTTGTCTCCATCAATGATTGTGACAAAAGAAAACAAATACCATCGGCTCTACACTCTCTAAACGCCCCTAGTTTTGGTGACAAGGCCCACCGTCTGTAATCCCCCTATATAAAGAGCACTTGGTGCTCATCTTGTTCATCAAACGCTTAAAACATTCACAATCACTACTACAGGAGTTCAGAAGATCAAAGAGAAAAGAAATCATGAGTTCATCAAGTGCGAGCAAGGCTATAGTGGCAGCAAGTGTTGGAGTTGTAGAGGCACTCAAGGACCAAGGGATTTGCAGATGGAACTCTGCTTTGAGATATGCAGGCCAGCAAGCCAAGAGCCAAGTGAGATCATTTTCTCAGGCCAACAACAAACTCTCTTCTCCTTCTGCTTCAGCTCTGAATAAAGTGAGAGATGAGAAGCTCAAGAAATCAGAGGAGTCTTTGAGGACGGTCATGTTTTTGAGCTGCTGGGGTCCCAACAACTAATTGAATGATTCATTCACAAAAACAAGAGCAAAGATTAGGGTTGTAAATTACGGCAACTAATGATGTTTGCTTGGGCCTAATTGATGTAAATTTTGTTTCGTTGTAACAATTACCATATAGAACAGAAATTGTTGCTGAGAATTTCTACCTTGATCTCTTTTATTTTTTCATCCTTAGCCAGTAGTTTTTTTTTTTTGAAGTTCTCGATGGATTCATTTCATTTCAAAAACAGAGTTACAAGGCCCTACATCAATTACAAAACAGCTTCGTCAAACAGTAAAATTGAGATGAGGTCCGGAGGTTTCTCAAACCCGTTACATGACGAACTTGAAGTAAAGGCAAACTGTGAAAGGCGATGAGCAATACCATTGGCTTGGTGACGAACATGGTAGCATAAGCTCTAGTGGTTGAAGACAGGATCACACGCGAGTCTTCAAATAAGAGTCCAATGTCGGACAAATAATTGAAAGAATTATGTAGAAGCGTCACAATCTGGAATGAATCACTCTCGAGGATATTGTTTTGAAAACCCCCTAGCTTTAAGGAAATGGGCAGGAGGGCGGGACCACCTATGAGTGACTTGGGGACGAGTAGCGAGTCTCAGGGGGAAGCGGGGAAAGCAAATCTCTCGAACTCTTGCCACCAAGAGAGACCCCGAGCAGCGATGATGTCAGGAGAGTCCATACAGTCATTCCAGAGACGGTTATTTCGTGCACCCCAGATTGCCCAAAGCACCATTAAACCAAGAGCAAAGTTCGATGGATTAAGGTAAGAAGTCCACTTCAGAATCCAATCCAACATCGAGAGGACATAAGGCGGAGAAGGAGGGATACCAATCGGAGTAGCAAGCCAGACACATTTAGCAAAGGCACAATCGCGGATAAGGTGAATTGTAGACTCACCCAGGATTCCGCAGAGGACACACTTAGTGATGGAGTTTTGAGCTCCTATTATCCCACATCGTGAAACAACAATTTTTCAAAAGCCTTTATATAGGTCAAGTCCTTTTAGTTGGCAATTAGGGGTTGGACGATTTGGATTAAGTTTGTTTTCGTACTTACTTTCTTAGATATTTATTTATAAGAAGGGTGGTGCTAGCCATACATCAATTTTTACCTCTTGTACACTCTCTTAATTTTTGAACGTTGGATTGAATGAATAAAAAAGATTAATGAACAAAAACTTCTTAATTTCTGACCGTTGGATCGAATGAATAAAAAAGATTAATGAATAAAAACTAATAAGAGTGAGTAGAAGTTAAAAATGGATGTATGTATAACACTATTTAGAAAAATGAAATCTAAAATCTTTGAAATCTGAGTTAATTAATTTTTATCCCAAAAAAATATTGGATAAAGTTGTTTAGCTGAATAGATTATATTGTCTTGGAAACAATTTGACAATTTCCCACTAGAACAAACAAAAGCAAGTGGTGTTTCCTCCCATACCTGAGGCTAAGGTGGGTTTTATAAGGAAAACCGTGTGCTCATTTGTATAGTTAGTGGCAATGAGTGTGACAAAAAGAGAAGAAAAGAAATATATACCTTTGGCTTTACGCTCTCTAAACCGCCTCTAGTTATTGGTGGAAAGGCCCACCCTTTCTAATACCTATATAAAAAGCACTTCATGCTCATCTCCTTCATCAAACACTTAACATTCACAATCACTACCAAAAGAATTCAGAATACCCAAAGGAGCGAAAAGAAATCATGAGTTCATCAAGTGCAAGCAGGGCTATAGTGGCAGCAAGTGTTGGAGTTGTGGAGGCACTCAAGGACCAAGGGATTTGCAGATGGAACTCTGCTTTGAGATATGCAGGCCAACAAGCCAAGAGCCAAGTGAGGTCCTTTTCTCAGGCCAACAACAAGCTCTCTTCTCGTTCTGCTTCAGTTCTGAGTAAAGTGAGAGATGAGAAGATGAAGAAATCAGAGGAGTCTTTGAGGACGGTCATGTACCTCAGCTGCTGGGGTCCCAACAACTAACCCAATTATTCATTCACAGAAACAAGAGCAAATTAAGATTGCATGTTTTTGTGTAAGCGCTTGCTGATGGAACACCCCATGAAGGGGTCCTTGAGTTATTAGCAAAGGCTATCGTTTGGGATCGTAAGTGGCAGGCAATTGATGTCTGCTAGGTCCTGGCAAATTGATGTAAATTTTGTTATGTTATGACACTTGCCATGTAAATTAAACATATAAATCTGAGAATTGCTGATCACTATTGAGTTGAATTTTTTTTATTTTCACAACGGTACATTTGAAGAAGGGCTCTTATGGAATTTGAAGTTTAAATATTGCCCCCACAAAAAATGGTGCTATGATGGATTGACATGTTGCTGAACGTAGTTAGGTGATTTTCAAATTTGAGACAAAATTGTTTGTATCTCGTTTTCTCCAATGTGGCTGCCTCCGTGGTCGCTTGCAAGACGTTCAACCATTCCAAAAGAGTGATTAATTGATTCAAAGACTTAGCAAATCCAACCATACCAAAATAAAAGGGAGCAAAAACATTCCATTAGGCCAAAAGAACAGAAATAGAAACAGTCTGAAATAGGACAGAAGATTAGCCGCGATTATAGGGTTGTTCAAGATCCCTTTCAAACCGCCCAAACCGACTGAACGAATCTGATTCAGTCGGATTTTGGTTTAGAAATTTGGTCTCTCTCACATTACTCTTATTTGTTTAATGGTTTTATCCCTTGTAGGCATTTAGTATGACTCTCAAACCTAAATATTTTCTATGAATCGTTCTTCTAAATTTACGAAAATTGTTGGGAGGAAGAATCTCACATCGAAAAATAATAGACCTTGTATGTGCTTATGAAAAATTGAGCTAACTCCCAAATTAGTAATTAAATTTATGATAAAAATCCTAGCTTCTTTTAAAAATGACATCTCTAATTCTTAAAACAAAAAACCGAGTCACCGTTTTAGCTCCATAAATTAAAACAAGGAGTGAGGATCCCAGGGATCCTTAAATCAAATCTGTTTATCGTACATTGTGCAATCAGAAATCATTGTAAATTTTTTATTTAAAATTTAATATAAATAGTACCTTACAAAAACTATCAGCACGATATACGATGAATGAATGTAATTGAAAGATCCCCGGAATCATCACAAAGAGAATTCGGCAAGGATCCCCTCTCTAAAACAAGTCGTATCTACTCCCATACTTGGGACTTAAATGGATTTTTTTAAAGGAAAACCGTGTGTTTTTGCTTGGTCCTACCCAACCTAACTTTGTCTTCTCTGTTAATGAGTGTGAGTGTGACCAGCTAAGAGCAGTTCCACCATGAGAAGGGCCCCAGGGCTATTCACTATTTAATCCACCTAGTGAATAGTAACTACCCTTAATAAATAGTAAATGTCTTTTGCATCTTCACCCTTACACTTGAACAGCCCTAGCAATAGGTAATAAAATAATAGTATTTTTTTTATTTATAAAATAATACTAAATAATTTAATTTGTAATTTCAAATAAGATTTTTAATCGTTCTCCTTACGTCACGTGTCATTATCCAAAAAGGTAATTATTCGTGATGGATTTCGATAAGATTTTTATCCAATGTCATCGTGCCACGTGTCGTTATCTTTTCAAAAACGTTGAAGATAGATTTCCGATAAGATTTTTAACCAATCACGTCACGCAACGTGTCACAATTTGTTTACAATCTTTGAGGATATATCTCAGTTAGATTTTTAACGAATGACGGCATGTCACGTGACATTATCTACAACATAATCCTTTCTGAATCCTCCATATAATCCACCATCCATCCTCAGAAATCTCATACCAATTGTCTCAAGATCTCTATCATTATTCATAGTTTTTGCTTCATTCTTCACCAAAATCAAAATATGTATTTTTGAAATCCCGTTCCCGGATTACATTGTTATAATCTACGTATTTGTATTATTGAGATTTTATAGTATTTTTCAAGAAAGTATACTAATTTATTTGAAACTAGATTTCAATTAAACTAGTTACGAAAAGTCAAGTTTGGAAAATCATTATTTACTCGTGGACCTTTTGAAGTCACAAGTAACATTTTCGAATGGATCTCGAGCCCACGAACGCATAAGCGAAAGCCGTTTGCAAGTCCAAATTATAATGGTATAGTTACAGACGTTTGAAATTGTGAACTATAGATTGTGGGAATTATTTAATTTCCGCGTGTGGGTTAAAGGTTAAGTTAGTTTAATAAAAAGGGAACCAATCAGATTTTTAAGAAAGGGGAAACAGCCCAATCATAGGAGGGCAAGGAGAGGGAAGGGAGTGAGACCCGAGTTGGGTCATTTTTACCCGCAAAACTCCAATTTTGACCCGGCCATATCTCCTTCATCCGAACTCTGTTTTGGGTGATCTTGGTGTCCATGGAAAGCCCTTGATGAGCCCTACATCCTTGTAGTGTTAGATTTCCCAATTTCTTTTTCATTTTTCCAGTTCGAAGCCACAAACCCACAGGTGTTCCGGCAGCTTTATCCCTTTTCCTGGTGGCTCCGGCAAGTTTCACCATCCATGACCACCACCAAAAGACTCCCCTCAACCCCAGGAACAAAGTCCAAGTGGTTTTGGAGGCATTGGAGTCGATTGGAAGCCAAATTCGAAGCACACCGGCGGTTCGTGGCCAGTTTGGGGTGTTTTCCGGCCAAATTGGCCTTGGCCGCAGGTATAACGTTTATTTTACTCATTGAGATCTTCATTCTTGTAAATTTTGGCAATTTTTAGAAATAGTTGGATTTTTCCGGTGAGTCAAAGCGGCCGATCGCCACCCACGGCGGCGCGTGGCCCGGGGGCCGTCGATGTCATTCTTAGGCTAAATTAGATGTCTTGAGCTCAATTTTGGTAATTGTATGACATAAGTTGATAGTTGGAACCTAAATTTTCTACGATACGTTAATTGGTAAAAGGGTGAATCGACGATCCGACCGTTGGAACGTCACCAAACTTTAACATTTGTGATATGGTTATTAACTTAATTTCGTATATTAGTATCATTTGCGAATATGAATTGGTATTATAATTATGATTTCTATTGAAATGTGAATTTTATACATATATATATATATATATGTGTGTGTGTGTGTGTGTGTGTGTGTGTGTGTGTGGGTGTGTTTGATTAAATTTTTAATAATGCG